GCGGCTGCGTTACGTAAAGCTGCGTGCACGGTTCGAAAAACGAAGTGATCTTTCGAGAGAGCCGTGGGCGAACGATATCGCGTGGTGTGTATATATGGGCCGTGCTCGCGTGGCCGTAAGTACCGAGCCATGTACAGAGCCGAGAGCAAGAAGTGTTTCGTTATACCGATAACTTTTTCCTTCTGGCATTGATGTTTCCCGGCTGCAACGTTGGCTCAGAGCTTCCAAGCGATTTTACGAATTTTTCCGCACGAGGAACTCGTCTAATCGACGTTAAATTGTTATTTAAATTGTTACTTAATCGATCTTGAACAAAATTCCGAAGCAAATTTCGTTATAACGATGGCATTGAACAGTGCTACGAATGTTCCGATACCTACTCGACTAGATTATCCAGGAGCAATGAATTTTAATGGAATGCGGACTAATCCATGAACAATGAAATTTTAATCGATTCAAATTTACTTTACCCTATGGACATGTAAATCCTTATTGATAAGCTGATAAAAGTAATTTCCTACTTAGTTGCTGTTTGAGAATGTATGTTATCTTTCCTCGTGTAACTCGCCGATGGGCTTTACGTATGTAGAGACTTTTCGAGATTGTTGTTTCTTTTTCGATTTATCATTGTTGCAACTACCCTTAACTCGACGACGTGTCTGTTATTGCGATTCGCTGTTTATTTTTGTATGGTTGCTTCGCGGTGCACGAAACGGAAATAACAATGTTGAAACAGCTAACGGTAAAATATTTTTAAACGTTGATACACGATTTCGATGCGAAGCAGCGAATCGCTCGCTGAAATTCTTATTAATCTGTGAGAGTCTTCAAAGCAAAAATCGCTAACGTTCACGCTTAAATACCGGAGATTAAGATAAAAAATGAAGAACGGAGATTGTGCGTTCGAACAATTGCACGAGAGCTTATACGTGAACGTTGCAGTCTAAACATACGACCGTTCGGACAATCGTTTTTACGTGCTGTTAACCAACGATTCATTTTTCAAATATTAATATTAATAACCTTTACTTTGCTGCACGCCTGACGCGGACAATCGCCGATGAATTCTCGAGATTCCATACGAAACTCAAGGAAAGGACTTTCATCAATTAGCCGGTGAACAGTAATATGTTTATTGTTTATCGCGTCGTATCGTTGAACGGTGTTATCTACGACGCGCGATTAGATGCTTGCGTAACGAAAGCCGCAATGGACCTCGATCGATCAGAAAACACTAGATTCGTCGGAATGTACAGAGTCATTTTTGAGCTTTCACGAATTCGAAAGTCGAATAAATAATTTGCTAATATTTCGCCATAAATCTCAAGCATTACATTTTGCATTAACTTTTTGCACTCGACAGTTTTTTACTAGAAATATTTTAACATTTGATGATGAGATAAGGACGATATTTTGTGAAATTAACTCGAAGAGAAATCACACGTACATCGAGGAACAAAGCTATTTTATTTCAATATTTCTCAAACTGATGCATTATACGTAGTATAATATTAAATATCAAATTTTATAGTTTTACTGTATGAAATCAAGTGGTGACTGAGAGTCACCTCCCTAGTGCAAAGGATTAATAGATTCTCGTCCATGTTAAGCAACATATGTATTTTTACAATGAAAACTACATCGAGTATTAATTAATAAGCAATTAATAATAAACAATGAGTTTAAACATCGACGGAAGTGATCGTTCGCGGCCTTTGTTCACCAAAGATGGCGCGGCCATAACTGATTTCCGGTTCGTTGAGAGTCCAGTTGAGAACCACTGGGACGGGGGGACTGATTAAGAGGTATTTATTATTTTGCATTGCTATCGTGCGGCTATGCATGCTTAAGGGTCAAAGCAGGCCATCTTAAGCCGCAGATAAACGGAAAAAATAAGGAGAGTCCGCACGAAGGGAGCGGAAGGTCCGATTACACGCGAGACCGTTCAGAGAATCGGTTTCGAAACTGGACATCTCGTCCGATATTGACGATCGAAGTCCGCGCGATCGAATCTGAAGCCCTAGCAAGGTGCCGGCTGTCGTTAAATATTTTTTTAGCGTTTAACCTTTTGCACTCGAATATATTCATTATAAAATATTGATCAGGTTCTGGCATAACGTCGATGAGATTTTTTACAACTAACCTAAAAAACGAGCCACACGTGAGTTGAGAAACAAGGCTATTTTATTTCGATGTTTCATGCAATATTATATTTTCATTATATATTCGTGTAATATTACAATTACGTTATAATTCAATGAATACGATTTCATGAAATTATGTTGAATATTGAACTTTATAATTGTGTCGCATCAAACCGAACGGCGATTGAGAATCGCCTTTCGAATGCAAAGGGTGAATACATCCGAATATAGTGGCAGCGACCGATGTCTGACTATGTGGCAAATTTTGTTTGAATCGTATATTTCCATACTTACACTGTCAGCAATTATATCTCGTTGCGGAAGTTCGATTTAAAGGGAATAATATTTATAGAAACGTGCGTTGTGTCATTGCTTGTTAAACGATTTAAACTTGAATCAGGTCAACGGATCAAAATGTAAATATTGTATAAAATCGAGAAGAGTACACATCGGATTAAGAGGTTAACCTTTCGTGATCTCGCTCCGTATTGATCCAGCGTTGTACTCAATTCAATTTCGAAATGTACGATATTTCGAGATATCGACTGTTCGTTGGAACGTAAACAATACGTTGAACGGGACGATGTCTCGCAATGAATCGAAATAATAATTATTATTACGCCGATAACTTCCTCCTCCTTCGTCGCTCGACGCGGATTAAAAAGTTCCATGCTCCGATCAATTTTAAGCCGATTAAGGTTAGACGACCGAAATATTACCGGAACGCCTCGGATTACGGAAAATGAACGTAAAACGAAGCAGACGTTTCAGTCGAAACTGAAAATCCATTTCCACGCAATTTCCCGATTAGTTGAAAATCGATTCAAACCATTTTGCAAGAATTTCGATTTTTACGTAAGCCGTTACTTCCGGATCATATTCTTCTCTCGTCTGTACACGTTCCCATATATTTCGCCGACACCTTCAAAATTATAGTAAGTACACCCGAACACGTCAACGGTTTACCGTGATTGCTGTTCACTGTATGACGTTGCGCTTTATAGCGAGGCGTGGAAATAAATATTGATAGCGTATGCAAAAATTCGAACGAATTGGAGCAACCGATACCTCGCCGTGATTGAAACGAGCGTGAGGTTACATCGATTATCGGTGCTTTCCGCGCGGCCGTTTTTCTATTCGCCCGTTTCCCCTTATTAATCGCCGAAAAAGGAGACCGTGATTCATCGGGGCATCGATATACCACGCGGTGTTATCACGATCCTCCCGTATCGGTCGCACGAGAGCCCCAACCAGCCGTTTCGGTCCGCTCAATATAAAGTTTTTTCAACGATCGATATCGATCCATCGCGGAAACGTCGAGAACTTCTGAGAAGAAAGCGAGAAAAAGCAAAGGACAGACATAGGGGCGACGATAACGGGCTGGACAAGGAGCGAAGACGGGGAAGAAATGGAGAAAACGTTTCATTTCCGTAAGAAACGGGTCGCGCACGCATACCGTGGATCGGCGCACGTTCCTCGTGTCCAAAATGGCTGGTCGCTAAAATTAGCGTCGGAAAGCAATGAAAGAGATACCGGATAGGAGTACCATGCCCTGGTTCAACTCACCTTGACGTCGAAGAAAAGTCATATAAAATGGTATCGCCCTGCTGGACGGCCGCCTTCTAGCGTGAAAATTGAACGGGTGTTCGTGGGTGGATCGAGACAGATGGATCGCCCTGTCGGGTGCACCCCAGTGTCTCGTTTTTACGTTTCGCTACGATATCGTCTGCGAAAGTTGCTTGTTGGATTCGGTCGCCTCGACGTGACACCGTGATGATGCCTTTCGATTTCCTCGTAGATTTCTCAAGCTCGACGACAAACTGGACCGCTGTCGGCGAATTACTGTTCGCTCTCGAGGTTTCTGCGGCTTTAAGCGTGCTGTGCGTACCTTTTTCGCTCACGACGTGCACACTTGATACGTTCCGGCTTCTGAGACGGCTACTGCCTGAATACAACTGCAAACGATCGACGAAGCCAGGCCCGTAACGTGACTTGCGGTTCCCTGTTCATGATAGCGCCGTCCCTACCGTCGGCCACTTGACGTTTTTTCCTGTATGTCACGTGATAATGTAGTATCAATCGCAGTGACGCAATATGAATTTCATGGTTCCTAGTTTGATCATTTAAGAGAATATTTTTTATTCGGAAGCTCGAAGAATCAATTATTTCGAATTGTATTGTTGTTGCCGGAATGTTGAATCCTCGGTGACGATTGCTGTTATTCTTGAATATTCTGATAATGATTATAATAAGATTCTTTATTATATATTTCTTATGTAAGAACAGTATAACCATGAAATGATTAGAATTTCTTTTCAAAATTATTTGAATTACTAAACAAAATAAATCTTGAATGGACCAATTAATTTACGCATCAAAAAGGAGAAGATCTAGTGGTATGGTAGTCTTGTCTAATCAGAGGTCGTAGTCTATGTTTAAATAACAGTAACGTGCTAACAAAAAATAAGCATGGGAGAAAAAAATTTGTTGCGCCAAGTAACGAAGTAATAAAAACATTTAATGAAACTAGTAGATAACAAAGATATCACTACGATTATTTATGTAATTGTGTAACCTGTAATTATTCGCACATTTTATCATCGCTCGAATATTCGATACTTTTAAATTAGCCATGAAACTCTTTATGTTGCCGCTAAAATTATATGAGCCTCTTCTAATAATTTAGAAAAAATTTATCAGGCCTTTTATAGCAGGAGCGCGTTACTTTTTTTTGCTCGGTCAATCTGATACAATAACAGATATAATTGTGAAATTTGTAAGAGAATTGCGATGACTCAGTGATCAATAGTATAACCTTAATGTCAGTATAAAAAGCAAATGCACACGTGATTTTCATTACAGTTCTTTTTAAAGGTATAAGCATCAATATACGTGAAATTTTAATAGATGTATATATAATATTATTTATGGTGTGACAAATAAATCATACCAAACGTTATTACGATATAAATGACACGTTATATCAATTGTTATTACTAGTGTAAAAAGTACGTTGTTAATGTTCATTGTTGAGTTGCGTTTATAATATATCGAAAATGACATCGCCGTTTACTTGCATTACGTGTCGTGTGGCATTTCGAGATTTGGAAGTTCAACGACAGCATTACAAATCAGATTGGCACAGGTATAATTTAAAGAGAAAAGTAGCTGAACTGCCTCCGGTCACTGTAGAAGAGTTCCAAAAGCGAGTAATTGCCCAAAGGAACAAGGATGATAAAGAAAGAAAAGAAGAGTTAATGAACTGTAAGATTTGCAGAAAAAATTTCAACACAAAGAATCAATATGAAAATCACTTGTTGTCAAAGAAACACAAGGAAAAGTATGCGAAGCAGAACACTATGGAAGATGCAGACGATATAAGTAGTTCTTCTAGTTCAACAATCATGAATGATACTCAAAAAGAAGGTACTAGACGTAGTGGCAAACGACCAGCAGAAGAAATGGAGATAGATTCTGACATAGAGTCCATAGATTCTGATGAATGGATAGAAGATACAGAGAATCCAATAAAAAATAACGATTGTCTATTTTGCGATCATCATAGTAGATCTTTGGTAAAAAATTTAAAGCATATGACTGTTGCACATTCATTCTTTATACCAGACACAGAGTATTGTACAGATATTAAAGGTTTGCTCACATACCTCGGAGAAAAAATTTATGCCGGATACATGTGTATTTGGTGCAATGATACTGGTAAGTTGTTACTCCTCCAATAAATTAGGGTGTATCTTTTCTTAGTGACATATATTATCATTATGTTTTAAAAATTAACAGGGAAAAGTTTTCAAAGCGCAGAAGCTGCCAGGTCACATATGGTGGATAAAGGGCATTGCAAAATGCTGCACGAAGGAGATGCACTTGCAGAATATGCAGAATTCTATGATTATTCATCTAGCTACCCTGATGCAGAGAATGGCGATCCAGATGCAGAAATTGAAATACCTGAGCTAGACGACAGTGACTATCAACTGGTCTTGCCATCTGGGAATGTTATTGGTCACAGGTCCCTGATGAGATACTATAAACAAAACTTAAACCCGAATAGAGCAGTCGCGGTACCCAAGAATGAAAAATTACGGAAAATACTATCGCAATATAGAGCTCTTGGATGGAAGGAAACACAAAAAGAGATTGTTGTTAAGAAGGCCAGGGATATAAAATACATGCAAAGAATACAGGCTAAATATTCTACACAATTGCAGTTCAAGGCGAACAAACTGCAAAGATACTTTAGACCCCAAGTAAACTTCTAGGCATTTCTAGAACATGTATAAATACTGTTGCAAGACTGCATTCCTTTTAAACCTTAGAATTTTTATGCATAACAAGTTGTTAGGCGTGCTTATTGCGTTACATATTTATACATTTATTGGTGAAATAAACTTGTACTTATTTAATTGAAATATGCACTTTAATACTTGTTAGCTACGACTCTTGAAATGAGTTACAAGCTCAAGGCATATTACTATTGAAATCAGTCTCATTAAATTCAGTAACAGTTTTCGCTACGACTTATCCCAGTGTAATCGCGTTCTAGAGACAAAAGGATGTAAACATAATGAGAGCCATCGGTCATTATAAACTGTAATATTTATTTGGCGGATATTCTTACAAAATAACTTGTAATATATTTTCGTAACACGTGATATCAACAAAAATATTCCTTGTCACTTTTTAGTTTTATACTCATAATGGACCCGTTATCCAGTAATTCCTGAAACCATGAGTTAAATCACCGTCTTTGATGAATCGTTGCACACGGTGGCCCGGAAGCCTCCGGGGACCGTGTTCTCCCACGACGGCTGTAAAAAAATTCGTACACGAAATTCCGAAATACCTACGAGACTCCGTGCACTGTACGTATACGATATACTTTCAATTTTTCCATCGGCGAACTGCAAGGATGTACTCGAAGACAACAAATTCGTCAAATGAGAACATTTGACACGCGGTTCTCGTTTCTGTCGATTTTCACGGCATGCAAACACAGAAAATTGATTTCGTGGATCACTGTCGTTTTGCGGACGAGAGCAGCCGACCCCGCGCAGTTCGTTCTCAACGAACAGAACGCGGAACCAAAGTTCAGCGAACGAAACTCTAAAGATAGATCATCCTCTTACTGTTTCGTTTCTCCTTCACTGCTTCGTTTTTCTTTTTTTTTCCTGATTTTTTTCTTTTTCTTCTTTTGCATGAAACAACAGATCGCTCGAAACATTGAGAAAGGGAGGGGCAGGGTGCGCCGGTGCCTCGAATTCCTAATATTCTCTACGCGAGACACGCGGTCCCGCCCTGCATCGTTAGATATATTTCTGGAGAACTGTGTCTTTTAAGACGAACATGCATTAGAGAGCTGTTATTGTCGCGTAACGATACACATAGTATTACTCTACTGTTCCTTCGTAAAATTTCTCTGCTCATCGAAGGTGTCTCGA